TAGCGAGTGAGTCGGGTAGCTCATTGTTCGATAGACCGGCCATAATGGCAGACATGGTGATCACACTTACCGAGTCGTCAATCTCCAACTGCTTTGCTTGGAACCCCTTGAAATAGCTTCGGAGCTCTCTCCAGACTCCTGTTTCATCTGTATCAAGACATGAGTAGGCAACTTCTATTTGGTGTCATCCAAGAAGTGGTAGACAAACTTCAGGCTGAGGTGCTCGAAGCTACCAATGTACTTTTTCTCCATGTAGTTCCACCAGAGCTTGGCACATCCCGATAAGGTGATAGGAAAGCACCTACAGATAATGGCCTCAGACGCCTGCAACATGCTCATCATAGCACAATAGTTCTAGACATGCTCCATAGGATCCCCTCACCCTTGTATTTCTCTACTTGGGGCACTTTAAATTTCTCACAAGTGGCAGTCATGATGTCATCAGTGAGAGGAGTGTTCCCTCCAATGGCTTCGGCAATTGGTCGGTAAGTCCGATCATAGCCAGAGGTCATGCAGGTAAATGAGGAGCCTGGAGCAGTATGATAACGCCGAGGACCTAGATAAGCTCTTATGGTAGCGTGCTCCCTACGATCATGACCAAGGTTATGACTCTCATCAGTCACTTCCTCATACTGAGAGTCATGTCGACGAGGATCTGTTTGGTGAATCGGTTGGCGTGGAGGAGGAGACGCTGTTGGCCTTCTTGTTTTGATGATGTTTAACAAACAATTTACCACTAATGTTGTTTGTCTAGTATTTGTGTTTTCGTATTTATTGTAGACAAACAACGTTGTTGGAGGATGGATGGAATAGAGCTTCAACGATGATATCCAAAGGAGATTGGCGGAATGTCGGTGAAGCTTATGCAATTCAAAGTTAAAGATCAAGTTCAAGCTTCATCCGCAACGTGTACCAAGTTGAGCTACAATGAAGATCAAGATTGCTTGGGTAATGTAGTTTAGGATTTATATTATGTGTGTTAAGTACTCTAAGCTCAATTATCTATACACACACATTTTATTGGTTTCCTTGTATATATATGTAGTCACATATATATACAACACAAGTTTTAGTTTTCATGTTTATAAATATGAAATTACATGTTTCATATTTATTATTGTGATTTGGTTTATCTACTTAGATATGAAACAAATATATTTTCATATACATACTCATAGGTTTCATTTTCTATTGTATTTGTGAAAATATTGTATTCTTAGTTTGTAGACTTCAATATCAATTTATACATATTTTAATAAGTCTATAAAAACATTTTACAAAGTTTCAAAATGTTGTTTAAGTCAAAATATCAAAATATCAATTTTCATGTTTTCATGTTTTTGAACATATTTGCAAAATGATGATATTTTTCATTTGGGAAGTCCTTTTTCAAAACCAGTCGTTGTAACATGTTTATTATCATGTCTACAATCATTCCCCAAAGTTTTACATTTTTTGGAATTTATTTGATATTTTTAAACAGTGTTTTAAAATCAGCAAAACATGTTTTTCATATGTCAGATTTCGGTCGACCGCACCGGTCGACCAATCATTTGATCTTTCTTCACTGGGCGACAGAGAGTCTGTCGGTCGACCGGTCCGGTCGACCGAAAGCTCCATCGGTCGACCGTTTCTCTGAGCTGTTTGCTGGGGTTTTTGGTCATTTTGTTTTGGGGGTTTTTGCTGAGATTTCTAGTGGGTATATATACCCCATTGCTGATGTCTTTTCAAGTTGATTAAGAGAGTTTTAAAAACAAGTTTAAGAAAGTTTTAATCAAGGGTTTATGTTTGGTTTAAGTGTGTTTATAAGCTTTTAAGCATTTGAGTGTTTTGGTTTTGTGAATCACTTCCACAAGAGCTTGAGGAGATCATCTATTGGTGTTTGAGCATCCAACTCTTCTCCTTCCACTCTTGATCTATTGAGAAGTTTTCTAAACTCAATCTAGCTTCATATTTTATATTGTTTGATTATCTTTTTATTAAGCTAGTGTTCATATTGAGTTTAGTTGATTTTATTATCTCTTTGTTCACACACAACCTATTGAGCTTATTGTATTTACATTCATAGTATAATTTAGGGTTGTGGGTTTGTGACTTAGAGTTGTGCTTAATTGAGTTCTCACCTTGTTTAGAGAACAAATCATTTGATTTATACTGTGCTTATTGTGAGGATTCACTTGTAATACACTTGTACACCGAGAGAAGTGTGTGGTGAGAGACGGGGTCGAATCCAAGAGGAGTGGCGTCGGTTGACGTGCCTTGGGAGAGGTTGTAACCGAGCACTTGAGGAGGAGGACACGGGCTAGGACCAACACTTAGTGTGTGAGGTGTGATTGCATAGTGATTGTATTGTGAGGTGTAAACGTTGTTCGGGTGAACGTAGAAAACCCGGTTGTGATAGTGGAGATCTCCTCGAGGTGAGGAGCGGGGACGTAGGTCGTGGGGACCGAACCTCGTAAACATATCCTTTGTTTGTGATTGCATTGGCGCACTTGTTTTCATTTTCATATCTTATATCGCCTTTGTGTATTGCTCATCATATTACCCTATCACTTGTGTAGATTGTTTATTTTACCCTTGTGTTAGTTCATATATCCTTGCTCATATATTTGTAATATCTCATTGATAGGATATATTCATTTGTTCATATTGCTTATCCTAGCTTACGTATCTTGTTGTATTTTATACTTGCTAGGATAACTTGATAATTAATTTTAATTGGTATTTAATCGGATTAGATTAGCATAAGACCCTAATCACCCCCCCTCAAGGGTCTAACAGACGCGTCCTTGACTCGGCTCCTCTATCGTCCTGCATGAGCATCACACAGAGGTGGAGGATCTTTAATCTGGGCTTCTGGTGGAGGATGAGTTGCCGAAGGCTGGTCCTCTAATGATAAAGGAGCAACGGAGTAAGAGGGCTGAGAAGGATGAATCTGATGGAGGAGTTCGGTGGTGAAAGCAGCAAACTGCTGCTGAAAAGCTTGAGTGATCTGTTGGGTGGACTCTTCAAGCTGGGTGACATAGACTGGATGCGATGCTCTGAGGATGGACTGATCAGACATATGCTCATAATCAGACATAATTGTTCGGAGAAGAGAGAAGGCCCTACAGTGGGCGCCAAACTGTTGATGGCTGATATCTAACAGTCAATGAGATCGAAATATTAGGTTGACGGAGGTCCTCTAACCCTCCGAATGTCCGGTTCTGAGATGTGTTGTTCTTCCCTCCATAGTTAGCAAATCGTAAGAGGGGGATGTTGGTTTTCCCGGATGTTCCTCCGACGATCAAGTCAGTAATATGCTTGAGTGGAGAAGTAACTGAACTATAGTAGTTCTTAAGCACAGTGGGTAGAGATTAAGATCTTATTTTATTGTTAAAAATAGTACCCCTATTTCTAGTGGTAGTAGGGGGTAGGATGGTAACTTTGATCCAACATGGCTAGTGGCCAAGTCAGCATCTGCTTTACAGGCGTCGGTCGACGAGTAGAGGAGAGGTCATTTTAGATATAATGCGAAGTGCTTGGTGGCATACAGTGCCGACGTGGTCCGATGTATCATAAAGACAATTGAAGGTAGAGAAATGATGGTGCCGATAATATATTTAATGGTATTTATTACGAGGTGATTGGCTATTAGTGCGCTGGGGGGCTCAAGCCTCTAGGTCGTCATCACCTTTCTACTCGTCCGGTAGAAGGTTGAGAAATACCCTCACGAGATGTCGGCAAAATGGTCAATCGAGTACGTTGGTTAAGAATTCGACCCAGCCAGGGGTCAACGTGTAACGCCTTTTGAGTCGTCCTCGCGAGATGCTGGCTCGTTGAGTCATCCGAACTAGGTCTTTGGTTATCTTAAAGTGAAGAATTGGCTCGATTATGCATATTGTCGGATACTTGTCTGCTTCTGATTAGAGATTACGTTTTAGCACTAGGATGACTATAGCAGGATCTATCTAGATATTCATCATTTTCCTAAATAAAATCGAGCAAACCAATATTTTAAATTGTGTAGCGCTTGCTAAACAAACTTAACTGTCACATCAAAGCATACTAAATTATCAAATTGAAAATGATAATATCATCAAGTCAAATGGACCATGTAACAATTTGACTTCTTTGTCTTTCAAGTGACTCATCCTAGAGAATCCAAATGCGGTCTAGTGCTACACATATCACAATACATGCTTATAACATACACACGGCGAATCTTCATTCCCTATGGCTGAGAGCCACCACTACATCTCACTTGTAGGTGTCATGCATAATAATATGTTATAACAAAGTTATCATTTACTAATTATGGGTTAAGCACGATTTAAAAAATTTCTAAGTTAGATTACATTTCAAAGCAAGTGACACATCACAGTGAATGATCTAAAAAAATAATTTCTAGGGATATATAACAAGTATAGAAAACGATACTTAAATTATATATGCAACAATTAAATCTATTAATATTTTAAGAATATTACATAATTTATATTGGATGTTCAAGGGCATATTATCACTACTCTAGCAAAATCAACATAAATGTTGATTTTTGCGTCGTTTCACCTCGTACCCCCCTTATACATATTTCCACCTGTACTATATCATCTCAAATAAATATCAGTACCATACAAGAATTTGTTATTACTCAAATAAGAGCTATTATACAGACTTCGTCCTAACATTCCTAACTCTATAAGACCCTAACTACTCAAAATCAACTTTAACTCCATCATTATTTCACGGTTTTGGATCCACTTTACTGTATCAAAACTAAAATTTTTGCGACTTAGCAAGTGTTTACGTTCTCTGCCTTGCTCAATAGCGGATCCAAATCTCATCTTGTAGAGCGTAAGCTCACACATCGACCAAAAGAATTTAGACATCACTTCGTAAGTTACCAAATCAAATACGGTCAAACGATGTGGACCCATCCCGCTTTAATCTCTGTCCATTTGTAGAACCCAACAATAAATATAATCATGTCTATTGTTGCGTCTCCATTCCAACCATTTTGCTCTATCTTTCCGTCTCTCTAAAATGAGTGCCTCCTCTTCTTCTTCCCTTTTCCGTCTCTTCACAATTATCATCACACTTTCCATTAATTTGTACACAAGCACCAGCTGCTTCACTTCCATCGTCAGCTTCGGCGACTCGCTGACCGACACCGGGAACTATCTCCTCTCTCAAGCCGAGCCCGACGGTGTTGTCGGTCACCTCCCTTACGGCGAGACCTACTTCCATCAACCCACCGGTCGATTTTCTGATGGCCGAATCATTCTCGACTTCATAGGTTAGTTACCTTACTCTCTTTTTTGTTATTATTATAAAGAGAGAATTTACTTGTTGGTCGTTGATCAGCCGAGGCAATGGGATTGCCTCACGTGCGGCCGGTTCTTGGCGGATTACGGGACCGTGTGTTCCCGCACGGCGTGAATTTTGCGGTCGGAGGAGCGACTGCGGTCGAGAGCGGCTTCTTTTCGGAGAGGGGAATCGAGGCCGGTGTCAATTTTTCGTTAGATGTTCAGATTGAATGGTTCAAACAGCTGTTGCCTTCTCTATGTTCCTTTCATTGTTCAGGTACACGAAACAAAAACTGACAACTCTATGAAGCTTGAATTTGTATAAGCAATTAATGATGTGGGAGAGAATCCATTGTGACAGACGGTAGTTGTGATTTAAGCAAGACACTTTTCTTTGTGGGGGAGATCGGAGGAAACGATTACAACGTCCCATTCTTTGAAGGGAAAAAATTAGATGAGATACTGACCTATGTGCCTCGAGTTATTGATGCCATAAGTTCAGCAATAGATGTAAGCCCTAACTATTTTAAAAATGATGCGTTAATTACGGAAAACGTCCCATGAAGTTTTTGGGAGTTGCAGTAAACCGGCCCCGGTCAACTATTTTTATTACAGTAAACCCCGGAGAACTTTAGGAATTGTTATACATAACCCCTGTGAATTGTTTTATTTCGCTAAATTTCACATGAAAATTTCTCATTTAATCTCCAAATTAGCGCTGTCGATTCTAATATCTCATGTGAAAAAAGGTGAAAATATTCTTGTAGTCTCAGAAGTTACCTACTTTTCCTTTTTAATAAAGGTATTTCTTTGACATTAAGAAGAAATTTTGTCTTTCTTTTTTTCTTTTTTTCTTTTACATGTGCTTATCAGTGATATGTTAGAGTTGATGGTGGATAATGTGGTGATTCAAAGATAAATTTTCAGGTAAGATTTAGTAAAATAAAACAGTTCATAGGGGTTATGTGTAGTAACTCCTAAAGTTCAGGAGCGGTCTAGTCTAATAAAAAAGTTTGTGGGGGGTTTACCGCAACTCCTCAAAGTTCATGGGTTTTTTTAAAATTAACCCAGAAACAATTCAGTTTGCGCTAATTAAATAATGATATCTTGATTCGATTGTTGTAGGAATTGATTGGCCAGGGAGCAAAAACACTGGTAGTTCCCAGCTACTTACCAGTTGGATGCCTCTCCGGATTCCTCACAATATACCCAGACTCTACAAAAGACCCGAAGTCTGGCTGCGTCAAATGGCTAAATGAATTCGCAGAGTTAAGCCAGTGATCAGAAAACTCTTCGAATGTTGGCCGGCAGTCCGTCAACGTTGCCATCGCTTCCGGGCCACATTCAAATCTAGCGAAAACGTGACTAGCTGAAGCAACGCCACCATAGAACCTCGTTCACCAAGTGCCACACCAATGTTTTGGTCCAGCCGTAGTTTGTGTGATATTAGATTATTTGACTAGGTTAAGTTACCAGTCTAAACTGGCTTGTCGTGTGCTGATATATATATATATATATAAATTATATAATATTAATATATAATATATATATATAGTAATATTATATATATATATATATATATATATATATATATATATATATTATAGATTATCACTAGGGTTTGCGAAGGGTTATTATCTGCGCTGCTCGGTGTTGGGGAGCCGTATAACTATAAGATAGTAGCGCAGAGTGCTGCAGTCCTGACAAGGCTGGGGTGTGTAGGATCCGTCGAGGTTTATTGCTGGAGATGGGAAGGGCATACTCACTGAAGCGGGCTTATGACCGATCGCTAGGTAAACCATTGAATTCGTGGACCATTGGCTATACCCGCAATTAGAGATGCGTGTTGTAAAGACCGCGCGCAGTGAATGAGCTGACCATTGCGCCGTTGTCGTCACAATATGTACCTGAATAATACTAAAGAGGAAAGTTCATAGCAGAATAATTATGAGAATTAGGGGTGGAAATGAACCAAATAATTAACAAATAGTTCGATAATTGTTCGAATAACTATTCGGTCATATTCGATTCGGTAGTTCATTTACCGCTAAACAAATATTTTTTAGTATTCGAGTTTACTAACGAATAGAATTTAACCAGATGCATATCCGATTCGTTTGTTTATTAAATATTCGTTTAAAATTTGATCGCAACTAATTATTTGTATTATTGCACATATGATGTTATATTTTTAACCCATTTACCATTTCTACTTAAGTTTTATACATTGATTTTAAGATTCAAATAATCTTAAATCTATTTTCTAATTAAAATCTTGATTTAAATATATATACATCATATATTATAAAGGAATAATTTTTATTTATGAATTTTAATACTATTTGAAAATCAAATTCTTTAGCAGAATAAATATACTTTGATATTCGATAAGTATTCGTGAATATTCATGAATATTTATCAAATACCAAGTATTCGAGTTCGAATTCGAAAAACTAGATATATGAATATTAGAGTATGCATTCGAATTCGATAATTTTAAACAAATACAAATACGAACACTTTAGTATTCGATTCGATTCGATCATTTACCACCCCTAATGAGAATGTAGTCCTTTCCAGTTCGAGACGATAATGAGGGAGGAGGCATAGGTCGCACGATCTTGTTGTGACCTTGGCTTTGCTTAATGCTTGCTTGAGGGCGGTTGGAAAATAAGCTCTACTTTTCTCATTCATTGCCCACCTCTTTTTTTAAGAGGTGGGTGACTCCCCTGAATTCAAATAGAAATAAGCACAAAATTCGATTTTTAAACATAACCATCAGAGACTATTTTAATTCATATGGAACAACTGTGACTATTATCTCAGGATAAATCACAGTTATGCAATAACATTTGAACAGAAAGGATTTATTTAGAATATAACTATTTGTCATGAATGGGGGGGGGCGCATTTAGTAAAGACTTCGATTGGAAGGTCCAATATGAATAAAATTCTTTAGTGTTCCCACGAACGCTACACCGTATCAATAGGAGAAGATCATGTGGGACAAACCACTTCCAAGTAAGACAACGATAGAATTAAATAATTTTTCTTCAGTTGCACACCCTCCTATTGCTACGGTTTAGTGCTCATGGAGCACCTATGGATTTTTCTTCCAATATGACTCCTAAGGTCTTGGATTCAATTCCCATATAAAAAACATATCTATCATATGAATATGAATCAGATCAGCTATAATATTTATCATATATGCATATGTTTTTACTAATCTTGAATATGGATAAAAGTATATAAATAATTAGTAATAAAAACCTGTAGTTCATATCCAACAAATTCGAAATATGGGTATAATCAATAAGCGGAAGACTAATATGAGGAGAACATACTACATCAAAATAATAATAATAATCACAATAATAATAATAATAATAATAATAGCAATAACAACAACAACAACAACAACAACAATAATAATAAATCATGTGATAAAAAATATGTTTAATGAAAAGAAAAAAAACTCAAATAAGAGTATCAATTTATTCATCACATCTAAAAAAACAAGATTAAATTTCACATGGAGGGGCCTGATTTTTTTTTTTTTTTTTGTATACTTGATCTTTTTTGTTGTCAATGAGTGTCTTTTTTTGGTTATGTTCAAGCTTCTAAACTGAATTGTACTGAATTTTTTAAAATACAATTAACTAGGAACAGAAAAGTAATTTAGCCCCTAAATCTTGAGTAAAGTTAAGGTAAGTGGTTAAGTTGAGGAAATAAAATAATTTGGGGGACAAATTTACATTTATCATGATTTGGGAGGCAAATTTCAATATGCTTATAATTTGGAAGTAATTTCATTAAACCCATAATAAGTTCAGGTATTTGGAACTAAACACCCAATATCTTTAAAAATCTCACTAAGCCCTGATAACTTTTGGTAGAAAAAACTCAAAATTAACATTGTTCATTCAGGTATAATCAAAATGATGAAAATACCCCTTGATAATTTTGGCATAAAATTCCTCTTAAGTGTTACATTTTGTCACCTAACCCCGAATAAATTTTAGCAAGAAATCCACAATAACAAATATTTATAATTTTCATTTCTTAGAGGTTTATTTGTAACTGTTTTGAATTTTTCTAGAGGTTGTTCTTAATTTTCGAATTTTAAAGGGGCTGTTTGTAATTTCATTTTTTTTAGCGGGTCATCTGTAATTTTTGGGTTGCATTTGTAATTTTTTGTAGGTTTAATCTTATTTTTAAATTCAAGGATTTGTTTGCAATTTTTAAATTTTTATATAAGGGCTTTGATTGCAATTTTAGAATTTTAATGGTGCTTTTTATAAAATTTTTATTTTTATGGTCTTTTTTATATTTTTCATATTTTTCAGATGTTTATTTAAAATTTTTAATTTTTCAGTGGGTTGTTTTTAATTTCTCACTTTAAAAGGAGTTGTTTATAGTTTTTAGATTTGTCATGGAGTTGTTTATAAATTTTGAGATTTGCAAGTGGTCAATAATTTTAGAAAATTTAGGGTCTTTTTTCTTATTTTTAGATTTTTAGAGTTTGGTAATTTTAGATTTTTTTAGGGGGTTATATGTGCTTTTTTAAGTTTTAAAAATTTATTTGTAATTTTTCAAATTTGTGGGTGGTTGTCTATAATTTTAGAAATCTAAATAGGGTTGTTTATATTTTTCAATTTTTCCCTACATGTTGCTTTTAATTTTTAGATTTATTGGGGCTAATTGTAATATTTATAGTTTTCATTCTTGTTTATAAATTTATGGGCTAACTTGTGAATATTTCAATGATTTTTGGGGTTTATATTAGCCTTGAGGGTTAATTTTTCATCCTTGTAAAACCATGGAGTTTTTTAGAGGGTTTTCTAAAATTCTCAAACTTTTTTTTGGGGGGAGGAGGTGGGGTTAGCAAGAGTTGTAAAATTCTTAAGGGTTTAGTGCTAAATGGCTAAAGTTACTTGCAGGTTTAGTAAAATCTACTATTTAAAAAATAAGAAAACTCGCCTAACAATTTTTCAGATGTAAGGCTAATAAAAAAACAAAACAAAAGATAAATGGTGGAGGAAATAAAAGGAAAAAGGAAATAAAATATTAATTATTTGATTTATTTGAATTATGAATAGTTATAAGTTGATTACAATTAACAAATTTATGGATATTAATAGTTTAATTTTTATAAGGATTTTTAGGTAAATATAGAATTTGTTGTATGCATGTCAACTTTTTTTTTGGAGATTTAACACATGTTAAATATTTTGGTAATGTGGGTCTTTTTTATGCCTTTACACACACACACACAATAGAGGATTTCAATGGTATGCTTGATCTAGATACCCAAATGCTATTGTTTTATCATAACTACTAATATTCCAGTGCACTCGATGCGTGAATGACACAAAATATAAATGAGTGTTGAATTGTTATGTCTTAAGAGAAAAAAATGATTTATAAGATTTTTTATTTTTCTGAGTCTAAGTGCATTTTCATTTTTTTTCTAAGTATGAGGGCAT